AAATCTGTGGCTGCCTCGGTTTCCCCATCAACCTCTCTGGGCCCTGGTGATGCTTGGGGAGATGGAGCACACGGAGAAACAGAGCATCACAACGACAGACAGACGACCCCCACAGCCTGGGCCTGGGGCCCAGAGACACTGAAAACACACGCTGCCTTCACACCCTCCCCCGTGCCCAGCTGGTGGCGGCTCTGTGGTTGACGACACGGGCCCTGCCGGGTCCGAGGGGCGTTCTGGTTTAACATCGCGTTTATGCAACATGAGGCACTGTTCCCGTGATCCACTCTGCTCTCCTCCCTCAGCCCCACTCTCGCCTCTACCTGGGCGGGCCATAGGATTCATACAAAATTAACTGGAGGTTCCGTTTCACAACACTCCAGTATCCAGTTCCCACCCAGCCCTGCTGCTGCCCCCCTTCTTTGTTCCCCTCTCTCCCCCACCAAGAGATGCACAATGCAGGGAGCACTCAGCGGGACCTGTCTGAGCTGCCCCTTCTGACAGCATGAGGTGCGGGGGGCTGGAAGTGAAGGACAAGGGGTATGCATGCCAAGTGGCTCAGGGCAGTGCCTCTCGGAGCTTGGGGAATTGAAGCCAATTGTTCCATGGGTGACACAAGCTGTCCCGTGTCCTGTCCCTCTTCTGCAGCCTTCCATCCCACACAAGGGGGGGGGGCCCAGAGGCATCCCCTACCTCTCAGTCTTCCTCCCTTCTTTCTGTGAATATTTATTTGAGCGCCCAGGCATTGTACCAGGTGTGGAGAATGACAAACAGCTCTTGCCTCTGGGGCCTCACAGGCCACCCCAATACCTACCACCCAGTTTTCGAGACTAATCGAAAAGCAGCCTACTCTGGGAAGCCTTCTCTGGTAGCATATTAACTCTTTGTTTGGTACCATCTTATTTATTTATTTATTAGATTTATTTATTTATTTTAGAGAATGAGAGAGAGAGAGTGCTCAGGGGGGAGAGGGAGAGAGAGAAACTCAAGCAGACTCCCCCCACCAGACCACCGAGCACAGAGCTGGATGTGGGGCTTGATCTCAGGACCCCGAGATCAGACCTGAGCTGAAACCAGGTCAGATGCCCAACCAACCACACCACTGGGGTGCCCTGGTACCATCTTATTTAGTTGCCTATTTCTTTCATGGGGATAGAGCTGATGCATGTTGTTTTTTATAAGAAAAATTTGGCTATAATAATAACAATGATAAGGAACATCATTTTGGCAGTGTCTAGCGCATGTCATATACCATACTAAGCCCTTCATGTGGATTATCTAATATTCACCACAACCTGTGAGCTAGGTAGTGTTATTACTCCCATTTCACAGACAAGGCAACTGAGGCTTGGAGAAGTTAACGGAATTCTTTCATGTGTCCCTTGAAGAGTCAATGTCCCTTGAAGAGTAAGCCTGGCAGGATTTAAACCTGGGTCTTGGGCTCTACTGTCCTATGTTGGAAGGTGTGGAAGGAAAGGAAGCAATGGAGGGCAAGGAGGGGAGGGCGTTGCCAGAGTGGAATGGAACCAACAGTGGAGGAGGGAAGGAATGGAGCTCAGATCAGAGATGGAGGCCACCCCTGGCCTCACAAGGAGCCAGGTTTACCCCCCAGTTGTCACCAGAGTCAGGCCTTCAGGGGGAAAGTTCCACACTGCCAGGCCTTGGGAGCTGAGCCCCTGGCCGGCAGCAGGTGGTGCTCCGGGTGGGAGTGGATTTCTCATGGTGTCAACCCACCTCTATCACTTGCAGAGATCTTTTTGCCTAAAATTAGCTGGATGTGAAGCGGAAGGCTAATTTATGCATGGCCCAGAGCAGTTTCCTATAGTGTGACTCAGAGGCCGGCTCCTTGCTCACGTCAGCAGATGTGGGGCACAGGGTGCTGGGAACGGCCAACCTGAGTCCACATCTACAGCTGGTACAGACCCAGACCATGTGGCTTTTCAGCTGGGGGCTGGGGCTGGAGGACCAAGCATTTCTCGAAGTCAGAAGAGGGCCAAATAGGGCATGAATGCTGAACACCAGAAGGAATAAAGAAAAGTTCCTTGGTGGCCCCAACCTACTCAGGCCTTTGTTGGACAGAAGGCATCTTTAGAGGACTGTTCCCAGGTGCACATGCTTGGCTCACGCATGGGGACACATCTCAGGACGGTGTCCAAGACAGCTGTGTTCAAAGTCTGCTCTGATGTGGACAGTGGTGGTGACCTTGAGCCCTCATGCTTCTCATCTGTGAAATGGGGTAGCAACACCTGCTTCTAGGAACATGTGTGATAAGAATGTAGCACAGCCTGGTAAAAAGTGTCGGAGCATTCACAGACATTGGCCAGCATTCCAGAAGGGTCAGATTCCACCCTTTCCAGAGAATGTGACTGCTTCTTCCAGAGTTGTGATAACCATAATGAAAACAACAGCAACAAGAGCTGACATTTACTGAGACTTAGAGACTGGGCAATTGGCCTAATTTCATTCAGCATTCACAACCTATTTTACTGATGGGGAAATGGAGGTGTTTAGTCTCTGGGCCTGAATCCTAACACATGGCACTACCCATGGGCCAGGCATTGTTCTCAGCTACTTCACCGTGTCCTCACTACCCTATGAGACAGTCACTATTATTGTCCCAATTTACAAATGAGGAAACTGAGGCACAGAGGGGTTGATACCTTGCCCAGAATCCCACAGCTGGTAAATGGCAGGGCTGGGATTTGAACCCAGGTCATCCAAGTCTGAGGTCTGTAGCATTACGCTCTTCTGCCTCTCCCCACACCTCTACTGCACCCTGGGAGATCCTTCTAGGGACCAACACAGCAGGGCCTCTGGTTAATCCTGCCACGGGCTTTCTCCCCCTTCTCAGAGATCTTTCCCATCAGAGATCTCACTTGGTCCTTATGAGAAATTAGGAAACCAAGGCCCAGGGAGGTCAAACCAAAAAGCCCCCAGCACACATGGCTGACAGGCGGCTGACCCATATTCAGAGCTGTCATAATTCCTTCCACTGTGAAGATGACAAAGCCGAGTCTCCTTTATTTTCCACATAATGCCTACCTTTTTGCAATGCCCTGGCATTCTGTGGAATTCCATCTAAAAAATGCTTCTCTATGCCATGCTACATGCTTTTCCTTCTCTTTCCTCCATAGCCAAGTTCAAGTACCTCCTCCTCCAGGAAGCCTTCCCTGACCTTCCCTGCCTGCCCACCTCACCTCTCCTCTGAGCTCTGGGGTCCATGCTATACCTGGGCTAGATTATGGGCTGTTTTGGCTGCTCAGCTGCTCCCCATGGGCTGGGGACTCAGTGGCCACATCTCAGGGCTTTACCGGACAGCTATCCACCCTCTTCTGTGCCAGGTACCAGACTGGGCACTAGAGGTATGGGAGGAGCTGGACAGGATTCCCGCCCTTTGGCGTGCTCATGCTTTTCCAGCAGGATGCAGCCGGGGACACAGTGAACCAAATGGTGATGGCCCTGCACAGAGCTGGAGTTTGGCCACGGGCCGCTCAGTTTCCCAGGGTCCAAGAACCTGTCAGGGGGGTGGGGAGGGGAGGCGGGTTTCTCCATACCACGGTCCATATGCCATGGTCCACGGCCTGGCTTCGAGGGGCTCTGCGAATGTGCTGACAGTGTGAACCACATCTGTAGAATGCGGTTGGTTTTTTTCTGGGAAAAAGGACCACAGCTTTTAGCAGGTTCTCTGCAGGGTCTGAGATCCACAGACACTTAAGACTTCCTGACTCAAGAGAATCTCTTGGTCCCACTGAAAAGACAAAGACTCCTGGGGCGACCCTGCCTCCTAGCAGGCCAGGTGTGCCAACTTGATGGCGGAGGTGAGCATGAGCCATTCTGCCACAGATTGGTGTGTTTGCAAGAGGCCCAGAGCCCCCAGGCAGAGCTTGCTCCCATCTCAGGGAACATGTGGCCGTTCTCAAGCTCCGAGTTAGTATCAAGAAATCAGGAAAGGATGTTTCCTCTATTCCTACTCTACTCCCCAAACAAAACCAAACACCACCAAGGAAGGAAGGTGTTTCTAAACTTCTGCCTAGCTGAGTGGCTAGAGCCCCTTCCCAAGCAGCCTCTGCAGGAAATGCATTGAAAGTTGGTGCCCAGCAGTGCCCAGGGCATGGGGACTGGAGTCAGGAGACAGGACGGGAAGGACTTTTGGCCTTGGATTTCTCATCTGTCACATGGGGATAAGAATTCGGATGCTGTCTGTCTCCTAGCTGTGATCTGTACTTGGGGGAGGGATTGTCATCCATTGCTTAGAATAAGTAGAATAAGAATGGCTGCCACTTACCGAGCACCTACCGTATGCTCAGGCTTCTGGTAGGCACTATGAGGTAGCCATTGGTTCCCTTTTCCACAGGAAGAAACTGAGACTCAGCACAGCCTCTTTGCACAAATCTGTAAGACTCGGGGAGTGCCAGGGAAGAGCCTCACACACAAACCTTTGGGGTTTATGCAGGGAACTCTTCTCCCTAATGGCAAGGGGAAAGTAGCCGTGGGGATGGGGACCCAAACTCTACACTCTGGTGCTCAAGCTGGTCTGGTTTCTCTTCTTTCTGCCCAACAGCAGATAACCTGGCTTTGGTCCCCTTCAGCCAAGCCCCCAGAAACTGAAACTTCTCTCTCCTGAAATGCTAGGTCTGCTCATTTTGGTAATTACAAGAAAGCCCCACACCCAGCCCCAGGGCAAGACACACACAGGCATCTGTCACCTTTCCCTAATGGCCCATCTTCCTGCCTGCCCTGTCTTCCAGCAGCTCCATGGCCTATGGCTGCCCCAGAGACCTAGGGGGCCACCATCAGAGTTTGGATTTGGGACAGCTGGACACAACCCCGGCCAGTGACATGGGTTGTGGAGATGGATTTGAATGCATGTGGATTTGAATGCAATGTTGTGGTCCCATGCTTAAGCCCAGATGAGGGGGTTCCTGGGGACTGGGGAAGGGAGACCAGGGGCTGGGTGGCTGGATCCCAAATCCAAGCACTGTGTTCAAGTCTTCCATACCTACCTTCGACAGGTGAGGTTTTGAGGCGCCGGCAGATGGCTTCAGTGTCCCCATAAGTCTCCTTGATCTTGACCACAGCCTCGGTGCCCCGTAGCTCCATGAGGGAGCGGAGCTCCTCCATTGTGCACCCGAACTCGCCCCCATGGCTTGACTCATTTCTTTGGTTTTTGGAGTAAAAATCGCTGTTGGTCATGTCACCCATGTTTGCTCCAGTCCCTGCTTGGGTTGGGCCCGAGAGTCAGCGCTGGACAAGAGGCTGCTGGGCGATGGCTCCGCGTGCTGTCCTAAGCACAACCTCACTGGATGACTGTGGCTCCTGGTGGCCGACTTTGGGTCCCAGGGGGAGGGGGCGGCCGAGGTGGGCTGGCGACTGCGGTGGTGAGCTCCAAGGGGTGTCCCTGGGCACGGGGCAACGTCCAGGGGCCGGAGGGGCTCAGGGCTGTAGACCCAGGAGTCTCCATTCAGTGGGGCCCATGCTGCTCCCTGGAGCTGGTATCTACATGGTCATGGGCGGTGGCTCCTGTGGGGGCAAGCACAGAGTGGTGACAAGGGTCAGGCACTGGAGGACTCATGGGACAGGGGCTCGGGAGGGCCCAGGCTGCATTTGCTTGTACACCACACAGACCACCCCAAATAACACCCCCTACATATACACATACCCTAACACAGGTGTTTCCTACAATACCCCATAACACACCAGCTCACACTGTAAATCTAAATATACTGGAGCCCACCTGGGCACTCTACAATATGCCACCCCTGAGGCACAGCCTGGTGTACCCCCAAAACACACCCTAACCCCCTAATTGTCCACTGTGCTACTTAACACACGGACTTCATGACATGCACCCTGCTGTACGCACACCCTCTGACATACACAACTTAGGGTGCTCCGCAACACCCAACCTGCCTACTTTTAGGGCCACCCCACCGCCATACACACACACTAATACATGAGTCCCACTTCACACACACCCTGGTGGACACCCCCCTTCCTGCCGTAAATACAACCCCACGTAGCCACACTTCTAGGAATACATCTTCACATTCCCACCCCCTCTCCTCAAAAATACCTGTGCTCACAGTCTTGTTTACACGCACACCAGGCTCTCACAATCTGGAGCACAACCCCAGCCTGCAAGTAATAGCCCCCAGGCTCCCCAGCATATATGCTTCCTCCATCCACGCCACCTACATCTGCTGTGCTCCCCACTCTAGTTTCACAGGCATGGGAATGGGAGAAAGCTGCATACCCTCACCCGCAGTCTCCAACCACATGAATCAAGGCCCTTGGCCTGGCCAGAGGAATCAGCTCATGCATATTCACCGGGACATCACTGAGCACCCCCCTCCCCCCGTTTGGCCCCCAGCATGAGCTGGGGTCCATGGAGCCCTCACCTGGGGGCCCCCACAGTTCAGCACCACAGATAGCGGCTAGGACATCCCTTGGGGAGCCCAGGAGGAGGAGAAGAGAGCAGCGGCTTTTCCCTGCCTGCCGGCCCAGCCGCCCTTGCAGAAGTGTGGCATCTGTGGGGCTGCCAGGAGAGAATCCAATCCACCCCGACACCCAACACCGGTATCCAAGGTCCCCGGCAAGCGTTGGGTGACAAAGGGCCTCTGCTGAGCTTGGCTGGGCCTGGCATGGGGACTGGCCCCACCCAGGAGGCACAGACAACTGGCCATCCTGGTCTGGGACAGTAATGGGGAAGGGGTAAGGGGAGGGAGATGGGATTGAGCCCCCGACCCAGCCCTAACTCCTTCCCCTTGTCCCCTGCCCCATCTCTTTGCTTCACCAATCTTTCCTCTTGCAAAAAAAGTGCTGGAGGCATTTTAGAGTCAATTTCATTTTCTTAGTAAGGAACCAGAAGCTCAGAGAGGGAAAGGAAGTTGTCCAGAGCCACACAGAGCTAGCTAGAGTGGAGGGAGTCCAGAGGTGGGCTGGTCTCTGGACTCCCAGCCTGGTGCTTTTCCCCCTTCCCCTAGGGGGCACTCCCTCCTTACTCTCTGAAGAGCAGAGGCTCGTGGGTGAACCGTGCCTAACGGCAGTGAACAACATAGCCTCTTGGGTCAGAGCAACCTGGGTTCAAATCCAAGTCCTCCCAAATCCTGGCTCTAGGACCCTGGGCAAGCCCCTCCCTTCATTTTTCCAAGGCTTTGTTTCCTCATCTGTAAAATAATAATCACTGTCCCCTGTCCCTTTGCTACCTCTCAATTTATTGGGAAATAATTATAAACCATGTTCAAATTCACTGTATTTTCACCTGGGTTATGGGGCTTCCCAGCCATGGGTCAGCGGCTTCTGGAGCCACAGGAGAAACCTGTCATGCCTTACAGGAGGGCACCTTTACTCAAGGATGCAGTAGGAGGCCTTATTCTTACACTGGGAGCAATAAGTATCTTATAGAGTGGTCCTGATGCTGCAAGCAGAGACACAAGACACCAGAGAAAGAGTGTGCTTGGGGATCCCACCCCCAGTCCTGTAAGAGCATGCATGGTCCTTGGCCATTTGAGCATGTACCACCCCCAGAACCCATGAGTTTTGACCCTAGCAGTGCATCCCTATGAGAAGCAAGTGAGGCAGGGACCAAGGATACCTGTGTAGAGATGTCATAAAGGTTAACTGCAGGGGCTCTAGAAACTACAGTCTCTGGGTTCTAAATTCTAGCCCCTCCATCTCCCACTAGAATGGGAAGTAAACCAATTTTAGTTTCATCTTATAAAAAAGGCAGAGGGAATAATAGTATCTACTTCATAGGTATTATGAGGCTTAAATGAGTTATTTCATGTAAAATATGTAGAACCGAACCAAGCACATGGGACACACTCAGTAATTATTGCGATTATTACCAATCCATATAAGCACTTTATGAGATAGGTAGTCTGGTTATTCCTATATAACAACATGAGGAAGCTGAGGCCAAGAGATGTGAAACAACATCCCAAGGTCACATAGCTAGTGAGTGCCAGAGCTGGGATTTGAACTCAGGCAGTCTGAATCCAGAGCCACACCCTTAATCAGGACACTTTGCTGCCTTCCCTTGTGAATCTCTCTCATGGGGTTCTTAGGATGGGTAAACGAACTGCCATATGTGAACGAAAGTGCTTTCCAAACCACAAGGGATTTTCTAAACCCGAGGTGCTGTTTTCGATCTGTCCCCGTTACCTGCGGCATGTCTTACAGGCACTGATAATTACATCTCTGGCAGCACGAGTTATGAGAATTGTTAGGAGTAATTATATTTACGATGACAATAGTAGGCATGAGTTAATGGGCTACTGGCGATTTTAACTATGGTGTTAAGATGAACAATGATCTTCAACCATCTATCTACCCATCTACCCATCCATCCATCCATCCATCCATCCAACCATCCATCCATCCGTCCATCCATCCAACCATCCAATCATCCATTCAGTAATTGTGTTTTGGGCACCTACTCTGTGTCAGGCATTGTACGATCCAGACATTGTTCCTGCTCCTGCCCTCCAGAAGCTGACGGTGGGGAGGAGGGACAATTGAATGAGTGACTTCTATAACATGAATGAGTTTACCATGATGGGAAGTGACACTTGCTATAGCTGTCCAGAGTAAGAAGATCTGATCTGGCCCAGGGTATCAGGAAAGATTTTTCCTCTCACTATGAGTAAGGAATATTTCTTTCCCATGTAGGTTAAGCAGGACTTAAGCCAAAGGATGAACAGAAAAGAAACTCAAATATGCAACTGTCTGTTATGAAAGGGCATAGTAAAAGGTGCAGGAAGGGACCTGTATGTATGGAGGGATGCAATTCTGGGATAAAAAAAATTAGTTAAAAATCAGAAGTCTGCCTCTGTAGGTGATTGATCTTTAACTTCCTTTTTTGAAAACAAAACAAAACAAAACAAAACAAAACAAAACTTCCTTCTTTGAGATTTCCCATCACAGCTACCTCTTCTGATGCGGCCCTTCCCCCACCCCCTCGTCCCCTGCTCCTGCCTCCCATGCATGCATGAGACCTGCATGCATGAGACCACCCCTCTTTTGGTTGGTCCTAACTTGCAGAGTTCACTTTGGTACTTGACCTGGCTGTGGGATTTGCTTGATTTGAGAGTATGAATCCACTGACACAGAAGCACCTGTAGGATGCCACACAAATGATCTTCTGGCAGGCAGAACTGAAGACCTCCTAGCTTGTATAAATTCACAACTATGGACTGAAAACTCCGTGGTTGCCCCATAGCTGTCATAGAGTGCTCTCTACTACCTGCACCTTCCCCACCCTGACCATGGCCTGTCCTGCTCAGCAGTGTGCTTTCCTTGGAAGCCTTCTCTGACCACCCAGGACTGTAAATGCTCCCAACTGTGGAAGCCTCTGGTATCATCCTGCACTTCACACTTTATTGCTTGGACCCACTTCATGTCTCCCTTCCTCGGGAGCCCGAGAGCTCTGTGTGGGCAGTAGCCATGTCTATTTTGTACCTAGTATGGGGCCTGGCATTCAGAAAGCACTCGATAAGTGCTTAGTGAATGGATGGATCAGCCCTTGGGTCATCTGTCCCTGGGAGGTATGACTTTAGATAGGTCCTTGAACCTCAGTTTCCCCATCTATCAAATGGAGTAGTGATTCTTATTCCATCGATGTTATAGGTTTGCTGGGTCTGGAAAGATATCAGAATCAGTAGTTACATTTTTTTTCTTTGAGACACGCCCCCCACCCTCCACTCCCCAGTTTCTCTTTGGTATGATGAGACATGGGTGTGAGGCTAAAGCTGGAGCAGGCAGTCATCTCCTTAGCCAAAGCCTACCAGACTCTGATTTTCTTGCTGCCTCACTCAAATACCACATGAGCCACCACTCTATAGCTGAGAGATTAAATGAGCTGTGTGACCTTGGAGAAGTCACCTAGGCTCGCTGGGCCTCGTCTGCAAAGTGGAGTGGATTTACCTGTCTTACATGTTGTGGTGAGGACTCAGGGATACCCCTGTGTGAGGGCTCTGGCTGAGGCTCCAGGCCTGGAACGGACACTCTAGAACACTGGCTTCTGTACCTCTGCCTGGCCCCCCTCCCACCCCGTTACTAGCAAGTGCGCCTCTCCCATGGTTGTGGTGAGATTTGTTTGAAGCCAGCACTCAACTTGGCATAGTCATCTCTGCCCGAAACAGTGGGCACACAGGCTGGTAGGGACTGAATGTGTCCCCTCAAATTCATAGGTAGAAGCCTCATCCCCAGTGTGATGGTATTAGGAGGTGGGGCTTTTGGGAGGGGCTTAGGTCATGAGGGTGGAGCCCTCCTGAATGGGATTAGTGCTCTTCAGAGGAGACAGGAGAGAAATCATCTTTCTCAGCCACGTGAGGACACAGCAAGATAGCCATCTGTAAGCCAGGAAGAGGGCTCTCATTAGGAACTGAATCTGCCAGTACCTCAATCTTGGATTTCCCAGCCTCCAGACATGTGAGAAACAAATTTCTGTCATTTAAGCCACTCCGTTCTATGGTATTCTGTTATAGCAGCCTGAGCTAACTGAGACATCGGCCCGTGCA